TCTTCACGGGCCCATCCAGCCCAATGCCATTGCGATGCGTGCAATGCGATGACAAAAAGCGATGATGCTGACGATGCGTCGCCATTGCGGGTGGACCCCTTCCGCGGTATTTCAGACACCGCGCGGCGAGTATCGAGGCTTAGTTAATCTGACGTGGCAGGCGAAGCCATGTATATCAAGCGCGGCGGCCGACAATTGACTTGGCGAGCTGAGGCCGTCGCAGCGCATACCTCGCCGCCTTCGCGTGGACTGCCATCGCCTGAACTGCCTGGGCGTGCCTGGCTGTGGCATGGCTCAAAGTCGGAGGAGCACACACCGGGCACGCGTTGGGGAAGCGCGCGCCCCATCTCGTTCTTCACGGGCCCATCAAGCCCAGTGCCCTGGCGATCTCAGGAGTCTAGGGGGAACGGGGTTCCAGCTTAGGCGAGGTCGGTGCAGGAGCCAGCTTCCACCCGCCCGTCCACGCCAAAGTGACGGACGACACCCACATCAGGTTGGCACATTAATAAAAATATCACGACCTTGTGTAGCGGTGTAGTATGAGAGAAAGAAGAAGGAGCCCCTCCCGAAGATCACGATCGTCCTCCGTCCTTGTGTCCATCCTCGTCCCCTCCCTTACTCCTCCCACCCGCACCCATCCTCCGCCGCCTCCGCACACGCCTCTTCCTGGAGGAGGATGGCAAGTCGAAAGCGGAGAGAAGGGGAGGAGCAGGAGCAGGAAGGAGGAGGCGGAAAAAGGAGAAGCTGCGCAAGAGGAACTGGGAGCAGGGGGCTTTCCGGGTTTTCGCCCCGCCCCGCGGCGGCTGTTTGCGGCGGCGGGCCCCCGCACGCCCCGCGGCCGCGGGCCGCCGCCGCTCCCAGGGCCGCGTCCCATTGAGGACCGCCCCCGCTCGCCCTGCGCGTCGGGCGGAGGCGCCGGGAGGAGCCGCGGTGGGGGCTGGCGGGCGCCGGCCGCCGCCGCTCGGAGGGCCGCGTCCGTGGGGACCGCCCCCGCTCGCCCTGCGCGTCGGGCGGAGGCGCCGGGAGCCGTGGTGGGGGCGGGCGGGCGCCGGCCGCCGCCGCTCGGAGGGCCGCGTCCGCGGGGGCCGCCCCCGCTCGCCCTGCGCGTCTGGCGGAGGCGCGTGGGGAGCCGTGCGGACGGCCTCGTCGGTGGAGTCCGCGTTCCGCGTCTGAGATCCTCGGCACCCCGCGGCTGAGCCCCGCGACTCGCGTCACGGGCATCTGCTGCGACACGCCTTCCAAGGAGGGTGGCAGTACCACTGTCGTCGTGCTGTTGCTGCTGTTGCGGCCTCTGCCTCTTCGTCAGTCTCCTTCTCGCAGCAGTGGGGGCCGCGTCCCTGGGGACCGCCCCTTCTCCCCGCGCATCTGGCGGAGGCGCGGGGAGCGGTGATGTCGGGCTCGCACTCCGGCGCGTCGTCGTTCCGCCTCCGAGATCCTCAGCACCCCGTGACGAACCCCCACGGCAGCAGCCGCGAGCATCCGCCGCGACATGCTTTCCAAGAAGGGCGGCAGTACCAGACAGGTTGTCGTCTTGCTGCTGGCTGCTGCCGTGGTGAAGGACGAATAGGACAAGGACGGAGGAGAGGGAAAAAAAAAAAAAACAGGAGGAAGAGGATGTGGGGCGTTGGCAGGAAATGGAAGAGGGGGAGTGAGGAGGAGGAAAATGCGGGGGGATGAGGAGGAGGAGGAAGAGGAGGAGGGGGAGGAGGAGGAGGGGGGGCAGGAGCAGGAGAGGGAGAAGCAGCAGGATAAGGAGAATCCCGAGGAGGACGAAAGAGAGGAGGGGGAGCACGACGAGGAAGGGCAGGACCAGAGTAAACCCGTGATACATCAGCGATGTTGCCGAACGCTTTCCCGTCCCAACCCCCCTCTCCATACGTCCCTGTAAGCTTTCTTATCATTTCAAGAAGCGCCCTCCTTGAAGGACAAGTACAGGTGGGCCTGTCATGTGGGCGAGGGTCCCGTTTTGAACATGAATTTCCTTGCATGTGTCTGGGGCCTATTCAGAAATGCAGAAAGTATGGCCAGGCAGTTGAACGAGGTATCCAGCGAGATCCCTTTTCAGAGAAGGACAGCCCCATCCGTGTAACTGTTGCGCAAGTTGAACCTGTGGCTATCAACCCCGAGGAAGTCTCCAGCGAGAGCTCCACTTTTGAAAAAGAGCCGCCCTTGACCACCGCACTGCTAACAACATTTTGAAAAACACACGTGCTCAATCCTGGAAGTTGTTGCAAGATTTGAACGAATGTGAGCAGCGCTGGGGCGAGACCCATTTGCTGAAAACGATCCCCCTCCATCCGTGAAACTTCTGCAAACGTTGAAGACGAGTGTGCCCGGCGCTATGGCGAGAGCCACAGTTTGAAGCCCACTTGCACCCCATCTGGGAAATTGATGCAACGTTCAAGCCTCCAGGTCCTCCGTGGTGGGGACGCAAGTCTCAGGCGAAACGACTGATTTGCATTGCCGACACGTCTCGGGGCTGCTCCGGGGAGAGATCACGAGGCGCAGGTGGAGGGAGGGAGGCGGAGCAGGAAGCATGCGACAAGCGCCCAGCGCGTCGCGCGGGGCCGCCCGTTGCGGCACCGTCGCCGCTTCGTGCGCTGGCTCGGGCTTCAGCATGAGAACAAACGTTCATTTTATATATTGCACAAGTACTCTTGCATACCATTGACTGCGCCGCATAGAGTGCATCATTCCAGATACTGCACACCACAGGGTGCACATCGAAAGAGGTCCCACTGTTTAGGGTCCACGCTGGCAAACATGCTTTGCTCAAATATTCCATGCTGGTGCGGAGAATTCGACGCATTGCGCTGCCTATTACTTGCTCGGATCTCCACTCAATGGTCCAATGGGGCAGGTGGCCAAAGCGACGGACATAGAGACGTTCATCCAGCTCGTGAAGCAGGATAGATGGTCTGAACTTTCCTCGACCATCATCATCACCACCACTATCAGCATCGTCCTCGGCATCTTCTTCTTCATCATCATCACCACCACCATCACCATCAGCAGCAGCATTACCACCATCAGCATCATCATCAGCAGCAGCAGCCTCATCATCATCTGCATCACCATCATCCTCATCATCATCAACGAGAGCATCATCGCATCATCATCATCATCATCATCATCAGCAGCATCATCGTCGTCATCGTCATGATCGTCATCAATACCATCATCAGCATAATGAGCAGCATGAGCATCAGCATCAAGATCGTCGTCGTCGTTTTCATCGCCATCGTCATCGTCATCGTGATCATCACAAGCAGCATCGTTGTCGTCATCAGCCTCAACCTCATCGTCATCAACATCATCGTCATCATAATCTTGCAGCTTTAGCTGGAACGGTATGCATACTGCCCCTTAGTCCTGAAACATTGCCGATGGCGACGCTTGCAGGCGTCGTAGATCGAGGCGACTTGTTGGCTGAAGTGAGGGGAGGAAGAGGGGTGAAAGGGGGCCAGAAGGGGGGAGAAGGAGGAGTACGGGAGAGGTGCGGAATGGTGGAGGGGGCATGGTGGAAGGGGGGAGTGGAGGAGGTGCGGGTTGAGAGAGGTAATGGTGGAGGGAGGGAGCGGAGGAGTGACAGGGAAAAGGAAGTGGAGTGGGATGGACCGGGAGGAGGAGGAGGAGGAGGAGGAGGGAGGAAATGAGGAGGGGGCGATGTGGTGTTGGGAGAGCAGGATGGTGAGAGGTGGGGAAGGGACGAGGAGGAGGAAGGGGAGGAGGAGGAGGAGGAGGAGGAGGAAGAAGAAGAAGAAGAAGAGACGGAATGAGAAGCCTCTTGTTCTCGAGTCTTGCTTTTCGGAGGGCACGCTTTACACATTGTCAGAGTCACGTGCACTCATGATGTTGCGGGGCCACACCTTGTTGATGCCCGACGCGTTGGACGGGGCGGGGACTCGGGTTGGAGGGGAGTTGTTGGTTGATGACCTGCATCAGGTGTGGTGGCTATGCGTGGGCAGGGCCCGACTCCTTATGCAGCCCTTGCCTCACGGTGCCCCCCACTATTCTGGCTGGCGAGCTTCGGAGCCCAAGACTCCTGCGCCAGCGGACCGCCCCTGTCTCACGCGTGGTGCAGGAAAGGGGCCCAGGTCCCCAGGGGATGGTGGTGCGCCCGAGGACGCTAAGTTTTGTGACCCGATGTTGGGGCGGGGAGAGATGTGCTTTGCCATAGTTGTTCACCAGGTCCAGAAGGTTTCAGCTTGCTGGAGCGGTTGCGCCCCGGAGGGGGTCGATACAGTAGCCACGTGTGACTGCGTTGTGGCGTCCGGCATTGACCGACGCTTTCAAAGCCAACAGGTAGATGCTAGCCAGCGTAGACCGCAAACAGCGATCCCTTGCAACCTACGCAGCGCAATCTAGGTGGTGCAGTCTAGGTGGTGCAATACAAGTTGTGCTGTCGATGTGGCGCAGAGCAATGCAATACAACGCAAAGCAATGCAATGCAAAACAATGCCAAGCAACGCAACGCAATGCAAATCAATGCAAAGCAATGCAAGACAATGCAACGCAACGCACAGCAACACAGTGTGAGCGCAATGCAAATACAAAGCAAATCGATGCAATACAAAGCAATACAATGCAATAGCAGTGCAACGCAATGCAACCCAAAGTAATGCAAAGCAATGCGATGCCAATGCAATCCAATGCAACCCAATGCAATGCAACGCAATGCAAAGCAAAGCAAAGCAATGAGATGCAATGCGACGCCATGCGGCTGCAACGGGGGGGGACAGCGGGGCGGGGGCTACGGGGCGGTGACGGGGCGGCGACGGCGACCACAAGATGGCGGACCTGGCAGTGGAGCCCAGTTCCTTCGAGAACAAGCAAGGCGCCCTAAGCGCAAGCACTGTTTAGGGGAATAGATCGACGGAGGGAGATGAAGAGAACGGAGGAAGCAGGAGGAGGAGAAGAAAGAGGAGAGAGGAGGAGAAAGTTCGAGGACGGCGAACAGGACGGTAAAGATGGCGACAAGGACGAGGAGGGGGTGAAGGGGAGGGACAGGAGCGGGGGAGGTAGAAGGAGGGAGGAGAGGAGGAGGAGGAGGAGAAGAACGAGGACAATGAAGAAGAGGACGAGGAGGAGGAGGAGAAATGGAGAGCGGGGGCGGGTAATGGTGAAGGAGGAGGAGGAGGACGGGAGGATGGGGAACGGAAGGGGACAGAGGGGAGGCTTGAAAAGGAGCGCACAGGAGGGGAGGTGGATAGGAGGAGAGGGAAGGAGGAGGAAGATGAAGAGGAGGAAGAAGAAGAGAAGAGGAGGAAAAAGAGGAGGAGGAAAGGGAATGAGGAGGAGGAGGAGGACGTTTTCTCATCCACCTCTTTTTCTTTTCTCTCCCTCAGCGAAGGCTGAGGGTGGGGGGCTAAGAAGAGAACGTTCTCTCCTCCACCTTTTTTTCTTCCTCTCCCTCAGCGAAGGCTGAGGGTGGGGGCGACCAAGGGCACAGGCCTGGCGTGACAGGCCCGCCACCAGATCGCATGAGGAGGAGGTGGAGGCACTGTGAGTAGTGAGGGCGACATGTCGAGTGGTGATCAGGCGTGTCGGCTGTGCTCCTCCAGGGTGCTGTATGGCAGGGGTCCGGCTCCTTTCGTTCCTGATTGTCCAACGGCCAGCACGTTACATGTGCATATTGCTTTTGCCACCGAGGTGCCAGAGACGAACAGGAATGAGTGTTATAGGAAGTGGGCACAGTGTACGTGAAAAGCGCATAACGACACCTATCCGCTCGCATCGCGCAGTGTTGAAGTCGTGGTTCAGCGGCCTGTGTTGGGAGGCAAGGCTTAGAGAAGAGGCCCCAAAGAAGTCTGCCCTCTTCTGTTTGCTTGGGTTTCTTGGGGAGCCGGAGCACAAGGGCACTTCCGTAAAGCGCGTGGGCTCTCGGCGGAGCGCCGCTTCGCAAGTCTAAGGTGTTGACACAATCTGTACAGCCGGGGCCCTGAAGAAGGAACCCTTTTCCGGAAGAAGGAACCCTTTTCGTTGGGGAGGGGCTCGGTGTTCCTCGATTGTTCGACAGTTTGCCCTCTGTGTTCCTGAAGTTTTCCATGGGAAATCGAAGTTCAACTCATGGGAGAAAGGGGCCTCGTTCCTTATTTAGGGTTCCTTAGGTCAAGGCCCCGACTGTACGTCTTGCCCGAATGCCGATCCTGTGGGCCAGATCGGCGGCCCTCAGCGGCAGCGTGGGGCCTGCTCTCGTGGCAGGGCCAGCAGCAGCACGGCCACTACAGTCGGGGCGTTGACCTAAGGAACCCTGAATAAGGAACGAGGCCCCTTTTGCCATAAGTTAGATCTTCGACCACTCAAGGAAAATCTCCAGAACACCTGGGGCAAACTGCTAAACAATCAAGGAACACCGAGCCCCTTCCCAACAAAAAGGGTTCCTTCTTCAGGGCCCCGACTGCACGAAGCTGCAATGGCAGTGGACACAGCGCGTGGCCGCCCCGCCAGGGCAAGAAGGCCATGCTGGCAAAGTACCGCGAAAACCACTGCTTCACCGACGCGGAGCTGGAGAAGATGGCGGCGAGAAGTTGCCTCCTCCCTGAGGGGAACAAGAAGTGGCATAAAAATAAAAACTCGGAGGTCCGCGCGGATTTCTCGGATCGGCGCTGGGGCCCCCTGGCGGCGCCTCCGGCGCCGCCCCTGGCGCGCTCCGCGCGCCAGGGAGGGGGGTCCAGCGCCGATCCGAGAAATCCGCGCGGACCTCCGAGTTTTTATGTTGATGCCACTTTTTGTTCCCCTGTCCCTGCGCCTTGTCCTCGTCCCTGGCTTCCGCACTCGTCTGAACCACGCATCCTCGCCCGCCTCCGCAAGCGCAGCCGCTCAGTCTTCAGGGAGGCGCGCGCCTGCTGGTAACTCCTCCTCCTCCTCCTCCTCCTCCTCCTCCTCCTCCTCCTCCTCCTCCTCACGTCCTCCTCCTCCTCACGTCCTCCGTCCGCTCCCATAACTGCAGATGCACGCCCCACGCGCCCATGCTCAAACGCTAACTGCCAAGTTCGGATAGTTGGAGGCTCAGTGGACGGGAGCTCGAATGAGCGCTGGCCTCGTGCGACCCCTGGGATAAGATCAGGAAGCTGGATACACTTGACGCGGCCGGCCTGGGCGAGAGTCTGATACACATGTGGTACATATGACGTGCCGCCTGCGCGAGATCTGGAACAGCGTGTGGCCTCATGTGTCTCCAGAGCTCGGCCCGCATGTGGCCAGGCACGGTGGTCCTCCGCATGAGTATCCAGCAAATGGCCTCCGCATGTCCCGCATGTAAATCCAGCCATGTGTGTCTGTTCTGCTCCTTTGTGCATCCCAGCGCATCGGTAAGTTGCGATCACATGAAGGCCGATATAGTCAAGACTGAAAATACGGCTGGGCTCGGCAGCAGCACGTACGGCACGCTCACGACGATCACCCATCGTCTAGCGGATGAGTAGTCCCACAGGGACCGTCAGAAAACCAGGCACTCTGTACGCTGTCGGTTGCCCTGATGGTCAGATTGGGTGGCCTCGCCCAGTGTTGGCTTACTATGGCCCTTGGTGCGATATATATATATATATATATATATATACAGTCGGGGCCCTGAAGAAGGAACCCTTTTCGTTGGGGAGGGGCTCCGCGTTCCTTAAGTGTTTCGCAGCTTGCCTCAGGTTTTCCTTATGCTTTCGATCGGACATCGAAGTTTAACTTATGGAAAAAAGGGCATCGTTCCTTATTTTTGGGTTCCTTAGGTCAAGACCCCGACTGTATACACATTTATGTATGGCCTTGTTTTCACGCCAGTTGCGCCTGCGTGCTTCGCCGGACTTGCGGCAGCTGCGTCCGTGCACAGCGCGGCCGCAAGGGGGCCCGCTTGCCGAGCAGGTCGGCGGTTGCCTTGGCGGCAGGCCCTCGGAGCTGCCCGAGGAGAGCACCGCACAGCAGAGCCCTGCACGGGGGCCAGCAGCAAGACACTCACAAGAGGGTGCATCGCTGGTGTTGCCAGAAGTGGTCCTGGCACAGTGTGTTTTTTTGCTTTTCGCTACATGTTGGAGCCCCTTGGGCCATCTGGGCCTCGTGCCGGGTACTCTGGAGGTCATTTGAGCCAGGGACATCTGGCAACGCCCTTGCATTGTTGAGGTGCTCTGCTCTGCTTGCTCTGTTCGTCTGCACTTTGCTTGATGCCCCTCCCTGACATATGCGACACCGAGCGTCACCAAGGCAACCCCCATGCCGTTCCGACGAGTGAAACCACGAGACCGCGCCCTGCGCGAGGAGTGCTCGATGGCCCGCCGCTGCTTCCCCCGCCGTTGTGGCTGCGTTATCCGCTCTTTCCCGCTTCCCCCTGTCCGTTGCCCGCTGCGTTCGGTTATGTGTATTGAGTGTAACGCAACAGGGTCGGACACCACCAGGCGCTCTTCTGGAGTCGGCTCTGGGGCCACGCGGCCAGTGCACTCGTTCCGGTCTGGCTCACGGTTATGATGTGCACAATATTGTTATGCTTGCGCCAGAGGCGGGATCCCCCCCTCTCCCCCCACCATCAGCGTCGATCTTCTTCTTTCTCCTCCTCATCCTGCTCCTCCTCCTCCTCCACCTCGCCCGTGTCCTCTGACATCCTCATCCTGCGCTTGTCCTATTCCTCATCCTCCTCATCCTCCTCCTCCTCCTCCGCCTCCTCCTCGCCATTCCCCCCGCCCTCGCGATGGGCAGCGGACTCCTCTTGGCCCCCTGGACGGGCTTCTTGTGAGTAGCACGCTCCTTGCCACCCCCCCTTCATTGAACAGCTTGACGGCATCAGCCGCCATCCGACCTGCCCGATTGGACGATCCCACGCGTCCCTGCCCCGATGGGCCCCCGCGACGACTTCTTGCCCGCGCCAACCCCCGTTGCTGCTCTTCGCTTCTCCCCCACCCCATTGGCTCCTCCCGCAGATCGAGGATCGAGGAGGGATGGAGGATCGAGGAGGCCTGGGACGCTGTTGGGCAGCTCTGGTAGCCCTGGAGCTTCGAAGGGGTTCCTTCGCATCGTTCGGACGTGTGCCTTTTTCCTTCGGCGAGGACCATCGAGGAGCCAAAAGGAAACGCACGAAACCGAAAAATGCAGGGCTAGACCTAAACAGTGCTTGGGCGATTTCGTGGACCGTGTTCGTTTTGATTTCGTTTTGCGGCGAAGGCCGAATGATGACAAAACGAGGGAAAAAGAAAACCAAGCGAAACCGAAAAGCGCGGTTTGGGTCGAGCCCTGGAACAATTCTAGACGCTTCGCGTATCCCCACCAGCCCGTCCAGAAACGACGCCCAGGCGAGTAGAGGGTCGTCCTGAGGGGCTGTTCGGCGTCGTGGGTGCCTCGGGGGGGCCTCTGTGGGCCGTTCGGGATCCTCTTTGGGGCCTCCTGGGGGCCTCTTGGGGCCTCTTGGGGCCATCTTGGGGCCTTTGGGGGCCTCCTGGGCGCTTCTTGGGGCCTCCTGGGCGCTTCTTGGGTGCCTCTGGGGGGTCTCTTGGGGCCTCTTGGGGGTCTCTTGGGGGCCTCCTGGGGGCCTCTGGGGGGGCCTCGGAGCCATCTTGGAGGAGATCGATCAACGAAGGGGGGTTCCCTAATTACAGTCCCCCCCTCAGGAGCCACGATCCTCGTGAGGGGTGTCGAATTTTAGCCCTCCCAGGGGTCGTTCTTGGACGCTCTAACTACCCGCGGCCCCCCCTGTCCAGGTCAGTGGGGAGGGGGTAGGGGGAGGGGTAAACCCCTCCCCGAAGGGGAAGAAGGAGGGGTGGAAGAGGAAACGCTCTAAACCACCGACGCCCAGAGGGCTGGTGGGATTCAAGGGGAATGGCGTCCGAGCGATGGCAATGTCAGGTGGGCGACAACCCCCTCGGTGGCGACCCCCCTGGATAGGGGGGAGGGAGGAGGAGGGGGAGAGGGAGGGAGGGGGAGGGGATGGGGGGGAAGTGGAGGGAAGGGGGGGAGGAGGTAGGGAGAGTGGGTGGAGGGATAGGGAAAGAGAGACGGGAGGGAGGGAAAGGGGTAGGGGGGGGGGGGAGGGAGGGGCGGGCGACCCTCATGGACCAGGTGGCGACTCCCTCGGTGGCGCGACCCGCCTTGGCACCTCTGCCCTCGGCCCTCGGGCCCGGCCTTGCCCTCGACCGCCTCGGGCTCGCTCTGCGAGCGCTCCTCGGCCTCCTCCTTCCCCTCCGCCTCCTCCTCCTCCTCCTCCTCCTCCTCCGCCTCCTCCCCCCCCTCCGACCTCAGTCTTGGCATCGCTCGGACGTTTCGATGTTTTCTCGGCAAGGACCATCGAGCAAAATTCTGGATGAACCTGCGAAAACTAAGCGCACGAAGCCGAATAATGCACGGGGCATCTGCATCCGAGCGAGGGCAAGCAGTTGCCGGGATACGCTTCTTCTGAGACGCAACACGCGCCGTGGTCGAAGCGTCCGTGTTGACACGTTGCGTGTCGGCTCGTCATGCGTCGGCCCGCGTTTTGGCTCACGTACCTCGCCAGACCTGCGCTTTCAACCTGCGTATTGGGCTCCGGGTCGACACGCTACGGGCTACGCGTTGCGTATCGGGGCGGCTAAGCTCGGGATACATCCAGGGCAGCTTGTTGTCCCGTCCCGGGGCCTGAGGCCGCCCCCGGACGCCGAAAACTACAACGAGCGTGTCAATGTCTATTTTCATCTCGCCGCGCGTTCGGTTTTCCTCTCTCTCTCTCTCTCGCCGCCGACCCGCCCAAGGCGACGTTCTACACATTCGACGCCGACGGCAGCGGGGACATCGTGAGGCAGGAGCTCTTCCAGCTCCTCGACAGCGAGTGCCCTGTGCTTGCGCGCGACAAGGACCGCGGGTCGCTGTCTGGCCACATGTCAGAGGGCCAGAGGGGACATGGAGCAGCCAAGCAGACCTTCCCTCCTCCCCTCAGTCTTATTCCTCCCTCCTCTTTTCCTCCTCCTCCTCCTCCTCCTCCTCCTCCTCCTCCTCCTCCTCCTCCCCTCCTCCTCCTCCTCCTCCTCCTCCTCCTCCTCCTCCTCCTCCTCCTCCTCCTAACCTCCTCCTCTCCTCCTCATCCTCCACCCTCCTCCTCTGCCTCCTCCTCCTCCTCCACCTCCTCCTCCTCCTCCTCCTCCTCCTCCCCCTCCTCCTCCTCCTCCTCCTCCTCCTCCTCCTCATCATCATCATCATCATCATCATCATCATCATCATATTCCTCTTCCTCTTTCTTACTCTGTCGTCCTCTTTCCTCATACTCCGCCTCCGTCCTTTTTCCTTCCTCCTCTGTCTCCTTCGCCTGCTTTCTCTTCCTTTCTCTTCCTCCTCCTCCTCCTCCTTCTCCTCTCCTCCTTCTCCTCCTCCTCCTCCTCCTCCTCCTTATCCTCCTTCTTCTTCCCACAGCCCTGAAGACGAACGTCTGAGGTGTTCACATCGTTACAAGAAGCCCAGACGGGAGGCGCAACCCCAACAATCGCGGAGGCGCATGCAGCCTTGATGAAAAGCGCAACCCAGCAGACGTGGGGCGCAGAGGGAATGGCGCACCGGCAACATCACTCTCTAGCCATGCACATGGGCAACGTCAGTCTCCAGCCACGCAACCCCAATATGCATGGGGGCATAGCGAGTCGAGACAGCAAGAACACTGCTGAAGGACACTCACTGGTAGACGATCTCAGGGCTCCTGGCGGCCATGTGACAGTACACCTTGTCGACGGCGGCATTGTCTCCGAAAAAAGGCAGGAAGAACGCGGCCACCCCTGGCTGCCCTTCTTGAACAGCAAAGTTGTACAACAGTTGGAACACCTGGTCGTTAGCAACTGAGTCCCGAAGTTGGTACTCGACAGCGGCCGTCTGGAACGCAATGCCAAGAGATTTCTTCGTGTGGCAGCCGATTGGCTCAAGACAGGATGCTCTTTGACGCGAATGGCCTCAGCACCGCTCTTGAAGGCCCAGCGGCCAGCAGCGTTATCCGAGAAGCTCGGGGTGCCTCCGCGCCCGTTTAGCAGCGGCCTAGCTTTGAGGCCGACAATGCACGCAGCCATGCCTGGAGCGAATGTATGTTTCTCACAGCGTTGCCGAGGAACATTGGCCTTTCCGTGCCGCTGAGGCCTCACCACATCAGCGTTAGTCTCTTCATTGGCACAGGGTTCGCCCTCCACCGCCACAGAGCATGAACCAGCCGCACCACCTTCAACAGGCGGCTGCTCGCTGGACGACTCCCCCTTCTCGCGCGCCAGAACTGACCCGATGGACTCGGCGTGCGTCTGGCGCTCGGGGCCCTCCACCATCGCAGGGCGCATGGCGCTCGGGGCCCTCCTCCTCCTCCTCCTCCTCCTCCTCCTCCTCCTCCTCCTCCGCATCCTTCCTCCCAGTTCCTGCTTGTTATATGCCTCCTCCTCCTTCTCCTTCCTGCTGCTCCTCCTCCTCCTCCCCATTCTCGCTCTCCTGCTTCTCGTAATCAGAACCAGCATCATCAGCATCAGCATCATTATCATCAGCACTTGCGGGGCAGTACGAAAGCATTGTGCTCTCTGCGACGGATCTCCTTACTTGTTCGTTCCTTCGAATAATAGAAGCAGCTTGATCCTACAAAATCGACGAAAATCGTCATCAACATCAGCATCATCGTCAACATCATCGTCATCATCAGCATCAGCATCATCAGCATCAGCATCATCAGCATCATCATCATCCTTCTCGTCGTCCTCCCCCTCCTCTTCTTCCTCTTATTATTAGTATTATTTATTATTATTAATAATAATATTATTATTATTAGTGTGATTATTAGTATTATTACTATTATTATTCTTATTAGTATTACTAGTATTATTATTACTATTACTATTATTATTATTATTATTATTATTCCTCCTCCTCCTCCTCCTCCTCCTCCTCTTCCTCCTCCTCCTCCTCCTCCTCCTCCTCCCCCACGTCCTCCTCCTCATCCGCCTCCTCTTCCCCCTCCCCCTTATCCTCTTCATCCTCCTTCTCCTTATCCTCCTCCTCCGCCTCGTCATCACCATCATCACCACCACCACCATCGTCATCATCATCATCATCATCATCATCATCATCATCATCATCATCATCATCATCATCATCATTATCATCATCATTATCAACATCATCATTATCATCATCAGAATCAGCATCATCATCATCATCATCACCCTCATCATCATCATCATCATCATCATCATCATCATAATCAGCACCATCATCCTCGTCACATCATCATCAGCATCATCATCATCGTCATCATCGGCAGCATCAGCAGCGGCATCATCATCAGCATTATCATCAGCATCGTGTTGTTATCATCGTCATCATCATAATCATCGGCAGAGTAATCACCGTCGTCATCATCAGAATCATCATCGTCGTCATCAGCAGCAGCATATTCATTATCGTCGCAGTCATCGTCACTAGCGTCATCATCAGCATCAGCATCAGCATCATCAGTATCATAATCATCATCACCATCATCATGAATAGCATCATCATTACCATCATCATCACCACCATCGTCATCGTCATCATCATCACCCTCATCATCATCATCACCATCATCATCATCGTCATCATCGTCATCGTCATCACAATCGTCATCGTCATCATCGTCGCCATCGTAGTCGTCATCACCATCATCCTTATCATCGTCGTCATCGCCATCGCCATAGTCATCACCAACACCATCATCATGAACAACAGCACCATCCCCCTCATCATTCCACCTTTCTTCCCCTTCCCCCTTCTATCCCTCTTCCCATGGGGGAATGTGAGCCTGGCGAGGGGTCCAACATTGAGCAGCTCATGCAATTTTAGTGACGCATCTCTCTATGCACGGCCCGTGTCAGGGATTTGCCGACATGGGTGTGGGAACGCATACAAAGTTCCTATTGGGGCCGTATGTGGAGCTCCCTAAGGGCACTAATCGTGTGAGGGGTACGCCGACATGCGCGGGAAATCGCATGCGGGCCTTCCCACTTGGGCCGGGGGCGGGGCTCGCGTGAGCGGTGTGCCGAAACGAGCGGAAGTACGCACGCAATCTTCCCCCCTGAGACCGGATGTGGATCTCCGTTTGGAGGCGCGATCCTCGTGGGTGCCGAACTGGGCGGCGACGTTATGCGAACACTCCCGCTGGGGCCGTAGGTGAAGCTCCTTATGGGGCAACCGTCCTCGCGAGAGGTGTGCCGACATGGGCGGCGCCATGCGGACCCTGCCATTGGGGCCGCAGGTGGAGCTCCCCATTGTGCCGCGAAACGTGCGAAGGGTGCGCCGAAATGAACGGCGCCGCCACGCGGACTCTACCATTGAAGCCGTACGTGGAGCTCCCATACGAGGCAACGATCCTCGTGAGGGGTACGCTGAATCGGGCGGCGCCGCCATACGGACCTTGTCATTGGGGTCGGCTGTGGGACCGTGATCTTCGTGAACGGCGCCGCCATGCGCCGGCGCCAGCCAAGATCGCAAGTGGAACTCCATCTGGGGCCGCGACGCGTGTGAGGGATGTGATAAATTGCGGGTTGGTGCGTCATTCGGTCGCGCATACTGATCACGTAGTTGGAGTTTCTTGTGGGGCCACGAGACGCGTGAGGGCTGTGCCGAAGTGATACCTGGTATGCAGCGCAGCCGCCCCCATTGAGACCGAAGGTGGAGCTCCATATGGAACCACGGAACGTGTAAGGGGTGTGCCTGTATGGGGCTAGTACGCCATGCGGTCGCTCCCACCGAGACCGTAGGCGGAGCTCTTTGGGGGGGGTGGCACGAAACGTGTAGCATGCTGGTTCGCCATGTTGTCTCGATCTCTGAGATCGGAGGTGGGACGGAGGGGCTCCCTATGGGGCCGCGGAACGTGTGAAGGGTCTGTCGTATTAGGGGCTGGTATGCTTTGCGGTCGCGCCCACTTCCAACGTAGCTGGAACGCCCTGTGGGGCCACGGAACGCGTGAGGGGTTTGCCGAAGTGGGGGTTGGACGCCATGCGGCCGTGACAACCAAGACCGAAGGTAGCTTCCTATGGAGCTATGGCACATGTGAGGGGTGTGCCGAAGCGGGGGCTGGCACCCCATGCGGTCGCGCCCACCGAGACCGAAGGTGGGCTTCCCTATGAAGCCATGGCACGTGTGAGGAGTATGCCGAAATGGAGGCTGGCACCCCATGCGGTCGCGCCCACCGAGACCGCAGGTGAAGCTCATTATGGGGGCACGACACTTGTAAGGGGTGTGCCGAGCTGGGAGCTGGTAAGCCATACGTCGGGTCGGCGCCCAGTGAGGCCCTAGGTGGGGTTGAGTATGGGGCCGCCGCGGAACGGCTTGAAGGGTGTGCCGAATTTGGGGGGGGTTACGCCATACGTCGGCGCCCATTGAGGCCGCAGGTGGAGCCCCCATACAGTGCCACGAAACGTTTGACTGTGTGCCGACTTGGACATGCGGAGGACAGAGGAAGGAGGACGATGAGGAGGAGTGAGACGTGCGCGCTGCTGATTCAAAACGAGGGCCGAATACGCACAGGATGGTTGAAACCGAATGCTGGCGAGGGACCCAAGCATGTGCAGATGTGAGTACCGCAAGACAGGTGGAAACCAAGAGAAGGGGCTAGCAAAAGGATTAAGGCGTGCGTGGAAAAAACGGAGCGACGTTGCTGATGGGGTTGCGGAGGTCAGCCGTAACGGGTTACATATGGATGTAACCCGTTACGGATGGTTAGCGCGGTTCTCGGCGCAGCTTTGGGGGGCAGCAGGCAGCGGGGTTGTTGGTACAGGTCGCGATGGGGCCACGGAACGTGGGAGGAGTGTGCCGAATGGGCGCGGCCACGCATGCGAGTCTTGTCATTGGGGCTTTCGGTAGAGCTCCCAATGGGGCCACGAAGCGTGTGAGGGGTGCGCCAAATTGGGCGCGGTGACGCATGCAATTCCTGCCCTCTGGAGCCTTCGGTGGACCTCCCGATGGAGCCACGGAACGTGTGAGGGGTGCGCCGAAGCGGGCGCAGTCCAGCATGCGATTCTTGTAATTGGTGCCTTCGGTGGAGCCCCGTATGGGGCCACGAAACGGACGAAAGGGTGAGCCAAAATGGTGTGGAGACCGCATGCGAACGCAGCCATTGGGGCTTTTGATGGAGATCCCTATAGGGCTACGAAACGTGTGAGGGGTGTGCGGTGTGGACCAGTTTTGCAGACGCAGCCACTGGGGCCTCAGGTGGAGCTCTCTGTGGGGCCATGAAACGTGTGAGTGGTGTGCCGAAATGGTGTGGGCCAGGTATGCAGACACAAACACTGGGGCCTAAGGTGGAGCTCCCTATAAGGCCACGGAACGTGTGAGCGGGTGTGGACAAGGTGTGCGCCTTAGATGGAGCTCGCTATGGGGCCACAAAACTTGTGAGGGTGCGCCGACATGGTGTGGACAAGATATGCGGACGCAGACACTGGGGCCCAAGGTGGAGCTCCCTATAAGGCCACGAAATGTGTGAGAGGGGGGCGCCGAAATGGTGTGGACCAAGTATGCGGATGCAGCTACTGGGGCCTCGGGTGGAGCTCCCTATGGAGCCACGAAGCGCGTGAGGGGTGCGCCGAAATGGGGAATGCGGACGCAGCCGCTGGGCCCTAGGGTGGAGCCCCCTTATGGGGCCACGAAACGTGTGAGAGATGCGCTAAAGTATTGTGGACCAGGTATGCGGACGCAAACACTGGGGCTCCAGGTGGAGCCCCCATATGGGGCCACGACACGTGTGAGGGGTGCGCCGAAAGGGTGTGGACCAGGTATGCGGATGCAGCTTCTGGGGCCGCGGAGGGGTGCGCCGACCGAAACGGTGTGGATCAGGAATGCGGACGCAGCCACTGGGCCCTAGGGTGGAGCGACACGTGTGAGGAGTGCGCCGAGAATGTGTGGATCAGATATGCAGCCATTGGGGCCTTAAGTAGGCATGAGCTGGTTTCGCCGGCGCTGGTTTCGCCCCGCTGGTTTCGCTGACGGCTGGTTTCGCCGGCGCTTGTTTCGTCAGCGCTGGCTTCGCCCCGCTGGTTTCGCCCCGCTGGTTTCGCCGGCAGCCGATTTCGCCAGTTCTGGTTTCGCCGACGCTGGTTTCGCTGGCGCTGGTTTCGCCGGCAGGTCGGGTCGGGTCGGGCCAGGCGTGACATTCAAGTGTGGGGCGCGCTCGACCAAGCACGCGCGAACCCTTACCGGGCGGGTCCAGCGGGCGCGACGGGTCGGGTCGGGCGGGCGGACCCTACCAGACGGGTCGGGCCGGGCGGGCGGGACACTAAAGTGTGGGGCGCGCTCGACCGAGCACGCGCGAGTCCTAACGGGCGGGTCGGGTCGTGCGGGCGGACCCTGCTGGGCGGGTCGGGCCGGGTCGGGCGGGCGAACCCTGACGGGCGGGTCGGGTCGGGCGGGCGGGACATTAAAGTGTGGGACACGCTCGACCGAGCACGCGCGAGTCCCAACGGGCGGGTCGGGTCGTGCGGGCGGACCCTGCTGGGCGGGTCGGGCCGGGTCGGGCGGGCGAACCCTGACGGGCGGGTCGGGTCGGGCGGGCGGGCGGGACATTAAAGTGGTGGGTGCGTTCGTCCGAGCACGCGCGAACCCCTAACGGGCGGGTCGGGTCGGGCGGGCGGACCTAGGCGGGTCAGGTCGGGTCGGGTCGGGCAGACCCTAACGGGCGGGTCGGGTCGGGTGGGCGGGACATTAATGTGTGGGGCGCGCTCGATTGAGCACGCGCGAACCCTAACGGGGGGTCGGGTCGGGCGGGTGGACCCTAGCGGGCGCGTCGGGCCGGGTCGGGCGGGCGGACCCTGACGGGCGGGTCGGGTCGGGCGGGCGGGACATTAAATTGTGGGGCGCGGTCGACCGAGGACGCGCGAAACTTAACGGGCGGGTCGGGTCGGGCGGGCGGACCCTAGCTGGCGGGCAGTTTCGCCGACGGCAGCTGGTTTCGCCGACGGAGCTGCGGCGAAACCAGCCGTCGGCGAAACCAGCGGTCGCCCTTAGGTGGAGCTCCCCATGGGGCCACGAAATGTGTGAGGAGTGCGCCGAAATGGTGTGGACCAGGTATGCGAACGCAGCCACAGGGGCCTCAGGTGGAGGTCCCTATGGTGCCTGGAGGCCATGACCCCCCCCCTCGTGTCCATCCCGATCCGATCGATAAGTTTCGATATCGATTCCAGCTAGACCGATCCGATTCGATTCCGATATCCCGACGATATTGTACGAGCCGGTGTTTGCATGGCGTTGTTTTACATCTTAGCGCAGCCGATCCGATTCGAGTCTGACCGCGTATCGATGCAGCCCGATCCGACGCACACCTGTATTCGATCCGAGGTAGTGGTCCGATGTTGATTGGTTTTGCCGTATCTCTCTCTCTCTCTCTCTCTCTGTCGCTCTCTCTATCTCGTCCTGGTGTTGTTGTTGCCCCACATCAGCAGCAGCACCTTTACCATAATCAGCAGCATCAGCAGCAGCAACATCATCATCTGTATCAGAACAAGTGTCGTCGGCATCATCATCATCATCATCATCATCAGCAGCAGCATCATCATCATCATTATCAGCAGCAGCAGAAGCAGCATAATCAGCATCATCGTCAGCATTATCATCATCAACTTCTTCTTCTTCATCATCATCATCATCATCATCATCATCATGATCATCGTCATCATCATCACCATCATCACCATCATCATCAGCATCAGCATCATCATTATCATCATCAGCATCATCATCGTCGTCGTCATCGTCATCATCGTCATCGGCATCGGCATCGTCGTCGAAATCGTCTTCAGCATCAGCAGCATCATCATAGTCGTAATCATCAACAGCGTCATCAGCCTCATCATCACCACCATCAGCATCATCAGCATCATCATCGATTATAATAGCCATGAGCAGCATCCTCATCGTCACCGTCATCGTCATCGTCGTCGTCGGCATCAGCAGCATCGTCAACACCACTGTCATTATCATCACCATCACTGCCGCCGTCGTCATCATCAGCATACTCATCATCACAATAGTCACCACCATCACCAGGTCTTCCCCGAAAGCCCCTTAAAAGAGCACACGGTCATCTCCTGTTGCTCCTCCTCCTCATCCTCATCCTCGTCCTCCTCCTCCTCCTCCTCCTCCTCCTCCTCCTCCTCCTCCTCCTCCTCCTCCTCCTATCGGGTTCCCGCTCGGTGGCCCGCGCAGGCAAGGTGTTGCAGGCAGGATTGGCGTGGAGCGGCGGGCCCAGCTCTGAATCCCAGAGCGGCTCATCCAGGAGCGTTGCGTAGGTGCAGGCAGATGCACGTCGCGTCTCCACCAGTATACTCACAGGTACTCTTATTGGGTTTCTTTGGGGAGTCATCTGCTAGAAATGGGTACGGCACCGAGAAAGTTAGCATCCCCCTCTCTTCCTTGGCTTGGAGCAAACGGGCCCTGAACCGTTTACCATGTCGTCCTGAGCCAGCTCCTCACAATCCCGGGGCTTGTGGAGGGCCCCGAGAGGCCCAAAACGGCGACAGAGCTCAGGACCCGCCCTCAGGACCCCCTCTCTTTCAGGCCGACCTCCTCCGTAGGGGTCAGAAAGACCAGCATCGGGTTGGGAGGATCGGGCTGGGAGAGAGACGAGCAGATCATCCATAGGATCGAGTATGTTGAAGGTATGTATGGCACCTTCCTACCGTGTGTCGTCCCAACCCCTTCCTCCCAACACGATAATTGCCTTTCCGGGGAGGAGGAGGAGGGAGGAGGGCGGAGGGCGAGGGGGAGGCAAGGAAGGGAGGAGGAGGAGGGAGGGCCTCCCTCCCACGTGGGGGCCGGACCCCGGAGGAGGACGGAGGAGGGCGAGGAGGAGGAGGACGGAGGAGGGCCTCCCTCCCACGTGGGGGGGCCGGACCCCCCGACGCGGCCATGGGACGAGGAGCGCCGCCCGATGTTGGTCAAGCTGATGCAGGAGGCGCGCGCCCCGGCGGCCCCGCGGGCGACGGGCGCCCGGCCTCCCGCCCCCAATCCAGGCACATTCCTGGCCACCTCCTCCTCCTCCTCCTTCCCAAATGCCTTTCCTCCTCCCTCCTCCT